GGAGAGGAGGAAGACCAAAGAACACATCACACCGAGAAATGGAGGCAGATATGAAAAGAATGAACAACAATTAGATAGAACTGGAAAGGAAGGCCAGAGGATAGAGTGGGTTAGAGAATGCTGGTCGGTGGCCTATGCTCCATTTGAAGTAACAGGAGTAAGTAGGTAAATAAATGAATTACACTTCCAATTGACTCATGATCTGAACTGTTTAAATTACTACACTTTCCACAAAACCCCTTCTGATACTAATCAACATATTCTCACTAGTGACTGGCTTCAAAATATATATCCTGGAGTTCTAATGAGAAGCAGTGACTAGTGGAGTTTAACCAGGTCAGTTGTGAGGTAGTAACTCTGTGAAGAGAACGGTGGTCGTGTCGTTCATTTTCGTGGATTAGTTTAAGTTGGACACAAACACCGTTGGATGCCGGCTCAGTGGTCTAGTTGATTAAGTGCCTGGCGCGAGACTGATAGGTCCTGGGCTGGAATCTCGCGAGGCGGGGTCGTGGAGGCGCACTGCTGAGGAGTCCCATAATAGGAAGAAACAGCCGTTCAGTACTTCCAGGTTTTCCATGGTTGTCTAGCTTCACTTGACTCATGATCTCAATTGTTTAAATTACTGCAATCTCCACAAAACCACTTCCAAATATGCTTAAGTACTAGGCATTCATTAAAGAAATTCAATTATAGACATCGAATGTTTTGTTTTGTTTTTCTAAATAGACATGAAATGTACTTAACATTCAACAAGTTATTTCATAAAAGCATTTTCCTTGCAAAAAGAAAAAAAATTTTTTTGAAAATGGATAACAATAATGTAACTAAAAATTGATTTGCGGATTAATTGACATTTCAATTATGAATTAAAAAGTGGACAGTTTGAAAATCAGTCAAGTAGTTACTATTTACAATTCATACTAAATATCGGTTATTTAACAAGAAGTTTCTAAATAAGTACTAACTGAATATTCAACGATAAAATGATTATAGCAGAAGGGGTTTTCTGGATATTGTAGTAATTTCAATGGTTGATATCATGAGTGGATGTGTACTGCTGAGGAATCTCACAATAAGACGAAACGGCCGTCCAGTCCTCCCTAGTTTTCAATGGTGGTCTAGCTTCAAGTGACTCATGATAATAGGTTAATGACGAACTATGTATTCATCAAGAAACATTTAAAAAGATTAAGTATATAATCAGAGATCAAATATTTTAATATTATGTAGAAGACATTTCGGCGGAACTATAATTTATGGACGAATCAATCAGGTAAAAGATAATAGGTCTTAGATTTTAGCGCGAAATTCATTCATCTATTTAGCAAAATATCATTTTAGCATTATAGCTTATTTCGATTCGTGATGAAAACTCTAAATCTAGTTCCTAACTCTAACCGTCGACTGTTAATCATAATTCTAATTCTTAACACTGATTCATAACTGTCATTTGGTCATATTTACTAGGTAGACACGCTCAAGGTCACTTTAGCGTCACTCAGAGATCATCCATAAATTATCGTCTTACTCACTACATCTAAGATTTCATAAATGATTAAATGATGAATGTTTTGATCATCAATATTAGATTTAATATGTTTTCTAACCAGATACATTTCACCATTCGTACTTTTGTACGAATAATTTCCTTTCAACTAATTGTATAATAATTTATTGAATGCTTAATTTATTTGAGACAATTAAATCAAAGTCACTTGGTGTTATTTTACTTGTATCTTCCAATTCTTATTTAGGACTGCAATTGATCAGTCTCTTATTGGCATATGTGCACCCTGTGCAGATTGTCTTGATATAGCCTTAAGCCACAAGTATTCTAAGTAAAGATGGATAGTGGCTAACAATAGAATCAAAGACGTGCGTTTCGTTTTATTTGCACAAGCAGGTGACTATCAGAACTCAGTAGCTAAGTGGATAAAGTGATAGCTTTTGAAGCGAACAGCACTGGGTTCGATTCCTTGAGTGAATATCAACTTTGTGATTCAGTCACATCCAGCTGACGAGTCCCAAGTAGAACTGCTAGCCACTATCCATCTTTGTTTAATTAAGTCAAAATTCGATAAAGATACCTACACTAATTGCATGTGAACAATAATAATTAAGTTTTTCATTGAAATGTAGTATTTATTCTCACCTACTAGATTTTGTGATGCCTATCTACTGTTACTTTTTGATATGGTCGAACTGCATTATTTTTTTATCATGTCAGTAAATGTGTAAACTAACCTGAGTGTTGATATACAGTAATTCAATAATAATTGTGTTGGGTCGGCTTCCGGAGAACTTCCACGGAGCGTCCAGAGGCCCAAAAAGGAGCCGAAGGCCCCTAGCCAATCAGAGCATGATGGAACGTTCGAGAATTCCAGCGTGGCGTGCTACCATTGGTCGGTGGCATAATATGACGTTAACGGACTGGCTGAAATATGATGTTGATTTAACAGACGCCAACATCTATAAATATCCTTGATTTTCTGTATTAAAATGAACCTTGGGATAAAGTGTTTACTCTCATACTTGTGTCTTCTCTCTGGAGTTCAAGTCGCTGTGTAGTTCAAGTCTGCGGGTTACGGGAATAGTTTAGGATTCGTATATAGCGTTCAACCTACACGACTTATCAAATTGGTAAGAAGTGTTGATGAAGATTAGTGAATTCAGTTATGGAACCAACAATAGCCACAAAGTGGGAAACTCCAGCAGTTTACATATACAACATAAAATTTTCAAGTTTCTCTATGAATACTCAAACTATAGACCACTAAACTAGTACCCAAATGATACCCATTTCTGAAGATTTGTGTTCATCCTATTCAAGAATAGAGAGAATGAGAGACTTTATTAAACGATTATTTAACACAAGGAATGTAGTTTATTATATTAAATGATATAAATCATATTCCATTGGTTAAATCAACTCAAAATTATTATTAATCAATCATTTCGTCGAAGAAGAAGAAGAAGTGTAGTACACAATGTACTTCATTTGTATCTTTCAGTTAATAAAGAAAAAGTTTATGTCATTACATTTCAAAATGGAGGATGAAATATTCGCAGAAGAAAAGGACACAAACAAACAAGACAAAAGAAATATTTCAAACGAATATCCATCAAGATTAGAACGAATAGTTTGAAAGAAATTGAGCGCCAAGTATAGAAAAGTCATTATATGTGAAAATTATATTTGAAATAATCTCAGCGATTGAAATTTAAATAATTCCAACGTTTTGTCCATCTAACTTGTCTGAACTTTTTCAGGGTAACAAAACAAATTTACATTTCCAATAGAGGTGAAGAGAATTTACTGATATCGGTTTTTAAATATTTGCGCCTTTTCCGTTAGATTGAAATTTGAGCATATTCTTTTATTTTATTTAATCAAAATAAATTCATGTATATATTTATGATATAAATAGACAGTGTATAAGAATCTTTATCTGAATTTGAGCAAATAGTTTCATAGTATTTATATTGTAACTTGTGGTTTAATGCCCCTGATTCTTGTTTTTCACACCGTCGTCAATTGTTATAACTTGTGGCTTGTATGCCCTGTTAATGTATTATGTGAATAGTTATCGATCGGGCCAATGTCGCATAGAACCCGTACGAGCAGTCTAGAGTCGTTATCGGTCCTTCTTCCTGCCTAGCCCTGCCTAGTACGTCCAAAACACCGATCTCAGCGTCTACAATATGAATCATGTATTTCAAACATACTGGGCTTATATGCAAACCAAACAGACCACATCTTACCATAAAATAGAAAATAACATTTGTACAAGATTTAACCAAATGTGGCTGTGAATGTAGGAGATAGTAATTGATATATATATGTATATTATTATACCATGAATAGATCCCAACAGTTACCATTCATTATTCTCCTCGTGATATAACAATAATCGTGTGAGGGTAGTAAATTTGAACAAGGTCTTTCCATTCTTCTTTTTTTGAATAGTCACAAAGAAGAATAAAATTCAATTATTTACATTTATATATGCACAGATCTTCAAATATAACACACAAACCACTGATTCGGTATCCAACGGTGTTTGTGTCTAACTTCAACCAATGCACGCGATTGAGCAACACATCCACTATTGTCTTCAATGAGTTACTATCTCACAACAGATTCGGTTGAACTCCACTAGTCACTGCTTCTCACTAGAACTTCAGGATATACCTCTTGAAGCCAGTCACTAGTGAGAATTTGTTGATTAGTATCAAGAGTGGTTTTGTGGATATTATTAACAAGGTCAAAGTTGACTCAAGAAGAATGGATAAATTGGCCTGTCCAGAAGCTAGAATAAGTTGTATGGGCTTACCATTGTAATTGACACCACATTATACCTTGGACAAGTTTCTATGTTCGAAATAATTAATAAATGATTAATATGTTAAAACCAATATTCAGCTTATAGATTTTTATTCACCAATCAAATACCCTCAGATATCTTACTTTAAATCAAAGAGCTATTTAAATGTTCAAAACATCTAACGTTTTAGTGTTAAAATAAGTCCTGTATAAATAGTGAATTCATACTGATGAAGAATCCCGAAATGGGACGAAACAATCATCAATTACTTCCAAGTTTACAATGATGGTGTAACATCAATCAATTCATCATCTGAACCAATAATAAATTTTAATAATTTTTTTCACACATTTTAGGTACGATAACTGACACGCACACACACACACACCGATAAATTAAAGTTAAAATGTCAATATACAAATATAAATTATGAATGTGCATTTAAACAATCTTTAATCTGAATTAAAAAATAGAAACTTGAATGTTTATATTTACCGCTCAAAGTCAATTTAGGTTGAAATATGAATTCACCAATTTATTTTGATTATAACCCTGCTGTTTTATCTCCTTAATATTGGAACAAATATATAAAAAAAACTATTAAAATATATTCAAAATAAATGGTGTTACTTTTATTGACCTTTCAAAATCTATGTAACATTTACAAAAACTTTAATGATTTACTATTTTAAAGAAATCGAATATTCATTGACCAATATGTATATTACATCATCATCATCATCATCATCATCATCATCATCATCATCATCATCATCATCATCATCATCATCATCATCATCATCATCATCATCATCATCATCATCATCATCATCATCATCATCATCATCATCATCATCATCATCATCATCATCATCATCATCATCATCATCATCATCATCATCATCATCATCATCATCATCATCATCATCATCATCATCATCATCATCATCATCATCATCATCATCATCATCATCATCATCATCATCATCATCATCATCATCATCATCATCATCATCATCATCATCATCATCATCATCATCATCATCATCATCATCATCATCATCATCATCATCATCATCATCATCATCATCATCATCATCATCATCATCATCATCATCATCATCATCATCATCATCATCATCATCATCATCATCATCATCATCATCATCATCATCATCATCATCATCATCATCATCATCATCATCATCATCATCATCATCATCATCATCATCATCATCATCATCATCATCATCATCATCATCATCATCATCATCATCATCATCATCATCATCATCATCATCATCATCATCATCATCATCATCATCATCATCATCATCATCATCATCATCATCATCATCATCATCATCATCATCATCATCATCATCATCATCATCATCATCATCATCATCATCATCATCATCATCATCATCATCATCATCATCATCATCATCATCATCATCATCATCATCATCATCATCATCATCATCATCATCATCATCATCATCATCATCATCATCATCATCATCATCATCATCATCATCATCATCATCATCATCATCATCATCATCATCATCATCATCATCATCATCATCATCATCATCATCATCATCATCATCATCATCATCATCATCATCATCATCATCATCATCATCATCATCATCATCATCATCATCATCATCATCATCATCATCATCATCATCATCATCATCATCATCATCATCATCATCATCATCATCATCATCATCATCATCATCATCATCATCATCATCATCATCATCATCATCATCATCATCATCATCATCATCATCATCATCATCATCATCATCATCATCCTCATCATCATCATCATCATCATCATCATCATCATCATCATCATCATCATCATCAGCATCATCATATCATCATCATCATCATCATCATCATCATCATCATCATCATCATCATCATCATCATCATCATCATCATCATCATCATCATCATCATCATCATCCATCATCATCATCATCATCATCATCATCATCATCATCATCATCATCATCATCATCTCATCATCATCATCATCATCATCATCATCATCATCATCATCATCATCATCATCATCATCATCATCATCATCATCATCATCATCATCATCATCATCATCATCATCATCTCATCATCATCATCATCATCATCATCATCATCATCATCATCATCATCATCATCATCATCATCATCATCATCATCATCATCATCATCATCATCATCTCATCATCATCATCATCATCATCATCATCATCATCATCATCATCATCATCATCATCATCATCATCATCATCATCATCATCATCATCATCATCATCATCATCATCATCATCATCATCATCATCATCATCATCATCATCATCATCATCATCATCATCATCATCATCATCATCATCATCATCATCATCATCATCTTTATGTTAACAATAGAAAGATTACTTTTTGTTAACAAATGTGATTTATATTTAATTGCATAATCTTATTCTTTCTTCTATCAAGTATCCAGAATGATTAAGAATAGAAGGGTTAAACGGTCATGTTACCGTTTTAATGTTTTAAATTTTTTAAAAAAAAAATAAAGATTTGATCTTTTTGTAAAAATTCTTTCGAAAGTTCAATCTATGACATTTGGCGTAAGTTTTTTTTTTAAAATACAAGTTAGACATTAACATCATAGGATGCCATCTTAGTGGTCTAGAGGTTAAGTGTTAGCGCCGAAACGGATAGGTCCTGGGTTCGGATCTCCCGAGGAGGGATCGTGGATGCACACTGTTGAGGAGTCCTAAAATAGGACGAAACGGCTATCCAGTACTTGCACATTTTCCATGGTGGTCTAGCTTTAATTGACTTATGATCTCAACAATTAACCTTGATTGTTTTTATCTGAACATATGTGTGTACACTTAATCCTACTCATCACATGTTTGTAGCTTACTTTTGTGTGACTGTAAATTTTGATTAACTCTTGCCTAAATAGAGTTGGCTCACACTCCCTCTTCACTGCGCGTCATTTAGTTACGCTTCGCTTTTTCTTCTTCGCTTCATTTCCCGCGATTCTCTGATTGTCTGTCCAGATCAATGAGTTTATAAAATATACATATTCAAACATCCATTCTCGTATTTGACTTATTTGATTCCATTATTTACCAACGCCATTTCAGTCGATGTACAAAGATTGACGATATTTAGATTTCAGTGACAATCAAATATATGATATAACTGGATTCAGATCGCGGTCCACAAAAATACTATTAAAGTATTCACAAATAATCAGTGAGAACTGAAAATATTAGGAGTCACACTTACAACATAACGGTAAACTCAGTAAAAAGTATTGCAATGGAATTTTCATTGTTATGACGTGAGTAGTTTGAGAAACACATCGATTATAAGATTTTGTATTGTTCTAAGTAAAGTAGTTAGTATTGTGTACCAGGATAGAAGTTCTGAGTCTCAATTTGTAACATAACTATACGTGATCTTCAACCATAGGTTAACTGTTATTGTTCGACAGTAAAGAAAGAGGGTATTGGAGTAAATTTTCAAAAAAAGACCATTAGATGAAAGATGAACCAGTTGATTATTAAGCATGTAGGATGTGACTAAATTAGTTGATAAGAGCAGTCAAATACGATTAGGATTCAAATAAATAGGTTTCAGGTTTGACACACTGTACTTATAAGGTTTATTGGGTATATCACAAGATATTTAGCTGTAATTCAAAGTTTCTAAAAAGGGCTTGAAGATATTTCCTTTTTTGAACATCAAAATTTTGTTAAGTACTAAGTACACAGGATAGAAAAATGAAAGGATTTACTATCATCAGTCTAAAAATATAATACTTCACTACTTCAGCAGGTCGAGGTCATCCCAACATGTTACTCACAAAAAAGATCTGTATTAAATCATTTAAGTGACCTCCAAATATCTGAACTCAGGAACACAGCGTATAAAGCGTTAACGTTAAAAAACAAAAGGTATCAGGTTCTAGTTCCACTGTAAACATGAGCATTGAATTACAGGTATTTGAATAAACGAGTAGGAATTAGGGTTCGGTGGGGGGAATCAAGTCGCGGATTTTAATACTAACCACATTCTAATTTTATTAGTGAGTTTAATTCAATTAAACTAATTCAACGAACAACTGACACAAATTACCTCAAGCATTTGTAACCCTTCAGATTATTTACATTCTTTTATTTGTTCAAATAATATTGTCTTGAATAATAAGAAACTCATGAATAAATTATGTTCTTTATAGATTTATACAAATCTATTTCTCCCTTTCTATAAACTGAAATGATTTAATCCGCTCAAAATACACTTGTAAAGAATGGGATTGATCATTTACTATCTAACGTAACAAAAATGAAGTTCTATATACCTTTACTTAATAATTCATCTGTATAACCGAGTTTTTTTAATGTTCAAAGACCATATATCAACAAACATCATCAGATGGTGGAGAAAGATTTCTATCTCAGGTGGATGATTTCGGTGGAGTTTCGTTCTCTGAGCTGGGATGTTTGGTCGTGGAGCTTTCACCGTTCTTCTGAAAGACATCATCCGCACAAACTTCAGATAGAAGTGAATTTCTAATTTCTCCAGCTCAGAGAACGAAACTTCATCAAAAAGAGACATCATCAACTATGATGTCATGTGTAAAGCTATAATTAATTTTATTTTAATATATTAATTTAATTTGCATATACTGTACTGTTTTTAAGATGATTAACATTTGTTGAACATCTTACTGGACGATTTTCGAAATTGTATTAGTTTTGTACAAGGATGTAAATTTTGTTTTCATCTTGAAAAATCGTCATGAATGATAAAGTTCAGAATTAGTTTACGGTATAGAATGACAATGTATTTGTAAATTGATGATGGAATTCATCTTCAGAAACCTAGAAGCACTGGATGGCCATTTTGTTCTGAGACGGGACTCCTCAGCAGTGCACATCCACAAAATTCAAACCCGGGACCTTCGATCTCGCACACGAACTCTTAACCTCTATTTATAGTCATTTTTATAATGGATGTGAGGAATACAATTCGACAGATATTTTAAAATAATTCATTTTTGAAATTGATATCATGAGACGGATCACTGGCGAGACTATAATGTATGGATTAACCAATCACGTATAAGATTACAGATCTCACATTTTGGATTGAAATTCACTCATCCATTTGGCTAAATAGAGTTTTGGTCTTATAGTTGATGTGGGTTCGAGATGAAAACCCTAAATCTAATTTCTAACCTTAACCATCAAATGCAAATCATAATTCTAATTCTTCACATAGGTTCATATAACTCATTTGGTCCTGGTTATTAGGTGGGCACTCTCAAGGTCAATTTAGCACCACTATAAGATGGTTTATAAATTATAGTCTCATCATAACTAGTATTGTGGGGAAAAGAATTATCTTTGGAAGACCAGATATAAATATCGTGTTTAAATTTATTTTCAATCAAATCCGTATTCCTACCGTATATTCATAAATACTATTATCTTCATTTAATTGTAACTCATTATGAAGTTTTGTAACAACCCTAAATCTATGTTCTAAGCTTAACCATCAACTGTAATTTGTAATTATAGGTTGATAACCCTCATTTAGTCCTGGTTATTAAGTGAACACTCAAGTTTAGTCTAGCGTTGCTCAAAAGTCGTCGATAAATTATAGTCTCACCGGATCACTTTCAGTTATAGATGGCTCATTATTGTAAAGATGGTGCTATTTCTCAAATACTTGCTCGGAGAATGAGTATTTAACTGTACATTATATTAGTTAATCAATTTTCAATACATTACATGAATTATCAGAAGGGGTTTGTGAAGATTTTTTGAAATTTCACAGGTTGCAATCATGATTCATTTGGAGCTAAGCCACCATGGAAAACCTGGAAGCACTGGACGGCCGTTTCGTCCTAGTATGGGACTCCTCAGCAATGCGCATCCACGATTCCGCACCCCACGAGATGCGATTACAGGACCTATCAGTCCCGCACCAAGCGCTTAACCAACTAGACCACTGAGTCTACCTCCAGTTGACTCATGATTTCAATCTGTGATATTACATGAATTAATGTATAAATTGACTTATAACTCCTGTAATAAATAGATTACATAAACCCCTAAACATTCGACTAACCTAATAGTTTTGTACATTTACAATGCTCATCAATATAAACAGCAAATACTATTGAACTAGAAACTATTTTATTTAATTAACACTGTACCTATTTTCGGACACTAATTTATTCTGTCTTTAGTAAAGTAATAAAATTTTTCCATAAATAAAAAATATGTATGTAGGCATTTTTGGTTATTCAACTGTTTAATTAAACACATTTTATGTAGGATAAAGTAACTACACAAATCCTGAAATAAATTCCTTTACAAGCATAATGTTTAGCTAACTAAACTTTAACGGTGGTTTAAGAAGACAAATTATATAAACAATAGTAACAATCATTGAAAACCAGAGAGCAAGCAACACAGCTTATTCATTTCAGTATGGAAATTGCAGCATTATACAAACAGTAAGCTATAAGGAATTGAACCCTGAACGTTTAACTTTCATGATGAACATTTAACGTGTGGATCAATGAATTAGAGTCCAGTGGTTGACATTTAAAACTTTAATCAGTGATCTACTTCATGGTTAAAGAAATTGTATTGAATCAATGAAGATTTCTAAAGATTTAAAATTTGCTGGCTTATAACTTAATAAGTGACCGAACAGTTGATCAGTCTTTATTAGTCATGTTACTATGTAAGCTCTAGTATAAGTTATTTGTGGTTTAAGGTATGCTACTTATACGGATAGATATAACTATCAAGTATCAAGAATTAGAAGTAGGATTCTTATTGACAAAACAGGAACATCAGTAGAACAGAAAAGAAAACTAAAATAGTCAAAGTAGCAAAAGGAAAGCAAGAACGATGAAGTTTGTAATAGACAATTCAGGGAAGACATGAAAATCTTGTATTCAATGTATTGTTTTAATATTTTACAAATGATTTTGATTAATATGATGAACTGATCAAGCTTACCTAAGTCGTTATTCACTACACTGTGGTTAAACGTTTGGTCACTGAAAACAGTCAGCAGGGAATACCTCTTGGCAGTTAATATTCATAAGTAAGATGTATCTTTAATCTTAAGATACCCTATGTTTACTACGGCAATTGAAGCAGTGTCGTCTAACTTCATAGCAAGGAACAAGATAATTGATCTATTCAGTGTGCAACTAACGTCCTATTTGACAGAGATATTTTACATTTGATTAATTACAAAGTAGCATTGATTATTGGTGTATTTGTCCTGTAGTATTAATTTACATCAGTTAAAATATAGGTCAGTGGAAAAGTTTCATATTGTGAAACTGGTTGACTTGATGAGAATCTCAAAAA